AATCATGCATATATATGTATATAAATTGATTTTCGATTCGGTTTGGTTTACCGATCACAATTATCCAAACTGAACCGAAAACTAAATTTTAGAAAATATAAACCGGAAAGCGAACCAAATAATCGGTTTCAATTTCGATTTCGGTTTCAGTTGAAACTAAATTTTTAATTTCGGTCGATTCGACTCGGTTAACCGAACTTTGTGCACCTTTATAAATGAAAACAATTCTAAGGCTTTCTCACAAGCAAATTAGGACCTTCATTTTCAATGGTTACTGATGCACGTTAGACTGTGTTGGCTTGACAGTGGGTGTGGTTACAAAACCATACAAACGGTCACCTAACTACTGTTGGTTACCATCATCATTGCGACTTTGTATTGTACTACACTTCCACTTTTGTACTACTCTTCGTTTTTGTCGTTCTCACACTTTTTTTGAGTGCTCCCCAATTTTTGATTGTCTTATTTATTTATTTTTCACTCCTTCCCTTTTACTATTATAAGTTATATTTTATTTTAATTAATATAATAAGTTCAAGTAACATATAGGGTAGTTAGATTTATTTATTGGGTTATGCTACATAGACAACCTCCATTACAACTTGGTTTACAACCAAGTGTAATGGAGGCATTAAAAAAGTATTATTACACTTGGTTGTAAACCAAGCTGTAATGGAGGTTGGCTAAGTAGCATAATTGTTATTTATTTTCTCAGGCTGACTAGATATAAGTATTTGTCAAACAAATATTATAAGTTATATTTTATTACTGTTAGAGTAAATTGTAATTTTAGTCTCGTATGTTTCACTACCTTAATTTTTTCGTTCTCTTCAAATTGCGTTTCTGCTTTTCGTCTCGTATTTTTGCAAAAATGTTACAAAAAAGTCTTGTACGTATTTGCAAAAAAAAGGTTCCAATTTCGTCTCTTATGTATGAAAATGACATTTTGTAACCTTTTTGCAAACTTAAGGGACGAAAATAAAAAAAACGCAATTCGAAGAAGACGAAAAAGTTAGAGTAGTGAAACATACATGACTAAAATTACATTTTGCTCTTATTATTATTACTAGTACAGAGCCCGTGTAATGCACGAGGTGCAAATTTTAAGGTCATTTATACAGTGATATAATGTAATTATTATTATTTATAAAAGTTGTAGAAGTAGTCTTATTTATGTAATGAAATTCAAAATAAAATTTTGAGTATAAATTTTTACAAAATACACACACATGTTTTTTAAAATTCAATTTTCTCATAATAATTCTTTTTTAAAAAAAAATGATTTAGCAATTGTCAAAAAATAAATCCCTTACATAATCAAGAGATTTTTTATAATTTTCATCCTAAGGCTTTATAATTTATTTAACATACTATGCAATAGAAAAATATTTTACAATAAGTTCATTTTTGAAACATAACAAAAAAAGTGATAAAAATTGTTGATATTATTTTCCGTAAGGCAAATTAAGCGACATTAACCCGACGATTGAGGTCGGTATAATGGTGATTAGAGTTCATACAAACAAGTGACAATTCCACCAGCTTCAAGACGACTACACAAAGAAAGATTCAGCAAGGACCGACGTCTTTGCTAAGTTGACCGATATCACATGTCGGTCAACACATGTCGGTCAACACATGTCGGTTATTACATACCCGCCACAACATACCGGTTATAACTGGGTGGACCGATATCTATAACATGCCACCTCAGCATGGTAAGGCGACAACAACTCAGCATAATTCATCATTACGCTTATCCAAGTGGCAAGCTATCAAGAGAAGCCACCAAGGACCGCCTTTGACCTTTCAAGGTGTAATGATTATTGTACAGATAAATATGGTATGTAAATATAAAAGGGAAATAGAGAATTTCCCAAAAACACACAGACAAGAATACCACCTTACTACATGCTACAAATTACATTTCTGAATATAATACACGGGCTTTTCGTCGCTAAACATTTAGATTTACTTCAAATACATCTCAATTTGGTTGTTGTTAATTTCCATGTGACAACAGTTTGGCGCTAGAGGAAGGGCCTTGAAGTTCATTCGCTGTTAAAACCATTTGCATACACAGAATCATCATGTCACAGTCTGGGCGAGACCATGCTACTCACCCTGGCCAGAGCCAGTCAACTAATCATTCCCCGCGGCATACAACACCACCACCTCCGGCTGCGAATATTACCAACTTCCTTCAAAATCCGGAGTTCATACAGGGTTTGTCTTCATTACTAGCTCGAGCCATGCCTAGAAACTCGAGCAC